TACATCCTTCGAATTGCACGAAATTTGGCATGAGGATATATTTTAGAAAAATGAGGATATATTTTGAAATACAAAGAAAATTCAATGAAATAATTGACATTAATTATACCCTTCACCACACTGTGGTACAGGGTACTATGTCTTTGTGCATATATTTGTAACAGGCAAAAGGAATCGAACTAGACTAACAGTACGTTTACATTTAATCGGATTTCGTTAACCCAGTGGGTTTCAATTGTCAATTCCTTTGCATATATGTCAAATAAATCCTCATGAAGTAGGTTAACCCGGTAAAAAGTTCTAATGTATATGCCGTTTTATGGTCCTTTTGAGAATATGCATATAATCACTTTCTGAGTCGATTTATTCATGTCCGTCCGTTGATGTTAAATTGTAAACAAAGTACAGGTCGCATTTATAATACGATTTGGATGAAATTTGGTACAGCTCTTTTCTTTGGCCCAAGGACGAACCCTATTAAAATTGGTGAAAATCGGTTTAGATTTACATATAGCTCCCATGTATAGTTTCGGCCAAATTTAGGTAATTGGTACACCAAAGTCGCTATATATCATTCGATTTGCATGAATTTTGGCATAGAGATTAAGATTTGGCAATTCAGATTAAGATATAGCTCCCATATATAGTTTCGCCCGATGTTAGGTAAATGGTGCACCAAAGCCCCTGAAAATCATTCGATTTGCACGAATTTTGGCATAGCGGACTGAATTAAATCTACAGTAATGTGTGCAAAGTTTCGTGAAAATCGGTTCAAATTTAGATATAGCTCCCATATATATTTTCGTCCGATTTTATGTAAATGGTGCACTAAAGCCTCTATATAAACGATTTGCACGAATTTTGGCATAGCGTACTGAATTAAGTCTATAATAGTGTAGCAAAGTTTCATGAAAACCTGTTCAGATTTAGATGCAGCTTCCATATATATGTCCGTCCGATATGAATTAATCTCTGGTAAGTTGCCTTGAATTCGGTTCATGGTAAATGTAGAACATATAATCAATAGATGTCTGACTGAGATTAAATTTTAAACCGAAATAGCTTTAAATCGATTTACAAAATTTAGCATAATAGTTTTAGTTTTAGTTAGTAAAAAGGTTCGGCCAATGCCGATATTTATTAGTTGATAACGATATTACCTGTAGCACAACTATATGTGCGGTGGATTACTATTTACTATTCAGGTTACAAGCAAAGTTATCCAAGTAATAACAAAGTTTGACACAAAGATGCCTAAAGGTGGCGCAAACTCAAAATGTAAACAAAAGTTCGTTGAAATCTGTCAGTCCCATACTATTACAAGGATATAATAATGAGAAGTAGACAGATTTCAACGGCAACGACCTTTCAAATCAAAGGCTAACTATTTAACAATTTTAAATAGCAATTCCTGCTTAAACAGTATATAAAGGCTGATTTAGTAGATATTACCTTTCTGGCAACACTGGTATAAACAGTTCACGCACGTTTTACTGTCGAAAATCTTTAATTCGGTCTATATTTATACTCTACACAACTATGTTGTCAGGGTATTATAGCTTTGTGCAGCCCCAAACATCGCGAATTTTTGCATGAAGAAGGGGATCGGACCAAAGAATAAGCATGCCTGTTTTGATAAAGATCGCTCAACATTTGGCGGGTCAAATGGACCCTAACTTTTGTGTGAAAAATGACAAAATTTGTATTCTATAGCGTATATATTTACCACTGAAGGACATAGACCCGAGAAGTTGATCGTATATCCAAGAGGAGTGGTTGGCCTTCAAATTGATACCAATTATATTGTCGTAGGTACTCGGATGCGGGAGTTACACTTAAATATTTACAGGTGCTTACGTATTCATATATTATTTAGTGACCTATTACCACACTGGAGGGCGGAAATATAGCGCTGATCGCTTTGAAATGTTTACATGAGGTTCCAGTTATGGTAAAGGACAACGCCTAAAATGTTAGGTGATGATCAGAAAATATTTTTCGAATGAAGTGGATCGAAAACTTAACTATTTGTACTTTTCGAGTCGAAAGCCAAACATCACAACACAACCCACGGTGAAGGGAATCTGGACAAGTAATTAGAGGTGCTGTACTGATTATTAGTAACATTTGCTGACCTCAAGCCAGTCAAAAGTGTGCAAATATCGCGAAATATTGCCCAATCTCAGAATATAGAACCACAGAAAGTTAAATTTTCATGGAAGTTGTGTAGGGTATCGTATGGTCGGCCCCGTCCGACTATACTGCTCCGCTCACTGGTTGTAACAGGCAAAAGGAAACGAATGATTCCTTTTGAGAATATTCATAGAATCACTTTCTAAGCCGACTTATATATGTCTATGTTACATTGTAAGCGAAGTAAAAGTGACATTTATGATGTAGCAGATGAGATGAAATTTGACACACTTCATTTAAGACACAAGGACGAACTCTATTAAAATGAATTCGTCTTATTTTATATATACGGTACACCAAACTGCAAGGATTTGTCCAATTAAGACAAAATTTTGCACAGCGTACTCAATTAGGGAAGGGTTGCCGAATGTGAAATTTTGTTGAAATCGGTTCAAGCTGGACCCGTGGCGCTTCGCTGCCCCTGAATCCTGAATTTTTATATGCTCGTATTAACAATACAGAAATGTGTGAAATATCTATGCGTTCTCTTGCCTTCCTATTAATATTTGTATAGAAGTTATTGATTTTTTCGCTGTTTTCTGTAATGGTGGTAATTGTTGTTTCCTTTGAAACTAAGAAAAAAATGTTTTTCATATACTAAAAAAATTCAATTCAAAATTGATACCTTTTATAAATTTTACACAAATTTTATTTCGTTATAAGTATGTATGTGCATGAAAATGAAGAGAACACGGTTAGTAGAATTAATGAACTGGTCGTTATTGTCAGTACAGATAAGTAAACTTAATAAAGTAAATAACTATTTTGCACATCTTAACATCCCACTATCCTACTTTTAACGTGTTTTCCAGATGGAAATAAATAGTTTTATAATTAAAATCAAGAGTTATATGTTTTATAGGGTTATATTTTTGTTTTTAATAAATTGTTAGAGTTTGTTAGGGTCTTCACTTCAAATACTATTTTCAAAGAACTTATTCTCAATTCGTCCCAAACGTGCCATTTTTTTATATATGACCAATCCTAATATCAGGCATTGACATTTTTTCTATTAGAATAATGTTGTTTTGGTATTTTTTTATTCAAATAAAATTTTTCACAAACTGACAAAAATGAAAAATTATAATGTCAATCATTTCTTTATATTTGTATTTCAATACACACACATGTTTTGTACATATTTTGTATTTTATGTATTTCAAAATATTCCAAAATCTTCGGATGATGCGCAATTGCAGCCATCTTTCTGAACCAAATTTTAAAGTAGCTACATGCTACTAACATACATATATACATATATTCTTTCAGAAGTATGATTATTTTTGATGATATTACACCGCATTCACGCGGATTTTTAGGAGTTTATCTAACCTATGTTACTTCCATCGCTTGACGTACTCTTGGTAAAATTTGTTCAGTGATTCTTAGGTCCACAAACAATATGCTTTCGATTTTCTATATACATTTGAATGTATAGATAGAAATGCAATGAGGAGTACATTTTTCTTTGGTAGTCCGCGATCCTGTTATATGGATGATGCGTACTTACGCCCATGTTACTCAGACATATTTTGAAGTCGTTATCTGTAACCTTTCTTTAGATATACACAAATTACATGTTCATAATTTCTGAGGCATGAGTACGTTCGGTGCTATAACTCCGCATCCACGCCGAATCTTAGAGGTTTATATAACTTATAGTATTTCCAGGACATGTCATAACGTTCTGTGAAAGTCTTAATAAAATCTGTCCAGCGGTTTTTGAGTCTACAAAAGAAATGTTTTCTGTTTTCAATATGCAGATTTTGAAAATGCAGCAGAAAATGTACTTTCCGTTGATCATACCAAGCTCGTTTTTGTATGGATGGTGTGTATTTACACCTACGTTATTCACACAAATTTTGAAGCCGGTATCTGTAACCTTTCTTAAGATATACGCATATTACATGTTCCGAAATTTTGATGTATGTTTACTATTGATGCTATAACTCCGCATCCACGCGGAATTTTAAAAGTTTATATAGCCTATGTTACTTTCAGGGCATACCCCGACATACAGTGTAAATCTTATTAAGATCTGTTCAGCGGTTTTGGCGTCTATCGGTAACATACAAACAAACAAATTTTTTTCTATTTTATATATATAGATATAGATATCTCCCGTATATATATTTTTTAACAAAAGTGGTGCACCACTAAATTTTACGCAACGTACCAAATTGTCTCTAGAATCACGTTATTAAGTTTTATTGATATTGATGTGGATGCAGATATAGCTCCCATAGATATTTTCGACCGATTTCATCCCAATTGTGCACCAGTAACGGTTGAAAACGTATCCGTATCGCATTGCGTGTCACAAATTGGAACACTTTAATAAAACATTAATTCTCTACTGTTTTAGAGAAATAACTTGAAATGCTTCCTTTTTTATTTCTTATTGGTGAAGATTCTTAAATTGGTGAACTGCGAAATTCAATTTCCTTTTAATTTGATTCATATTTACTAATGGTATCCTGCCTCTATTACACAGCAAATGTATTGGAGTATCGAAATAAAAATTCATCTTGTAAGCATTTTATTTATGCGTGAGCCTGATCAATGTTAGCTTCTTTTTCATGGAATTTCACACAAAAACAAACAGAAATTGTAGAAAATGAGTACAACAGTTTTTCTTTTCGCCAACAGAATCTATCTATCTATTGCTGATGCTGTCGCAACCTCAATCATGGTTCCACGAATGATAATTGAATGCCTTTTCCTATTTCTCTTCAGTTTTGCCACTGACTTGTTTCGCATTAACTATTCAGCATTCAACAACAGCAGCAACAACATGACGAAAATACCATTGATGATGGAGACGATGAATCGACGATGATGAAAATGTGAATGATGCTGCCGCTGATGTTGTTGCTGCTGCTGCAGCTGATGGAAATATTCCATTCATGAAGTATGCTCAAATACTGCATATTATACAACAATGCCTTAATTATGTTCACTTTCTCTAAGCTTTGTTGTTGCTGTTTTTGTTCTCTTTTTCCTCTACAGTCATTTTGCCACTCGCCGAGCTATAAGTCCTTCAGGGATCTAAAACGAAAGATTCATAAAGGGAATTAATGAGTTTGTTTCTGGCTCTGTGTTGTGTTGCTCTTCTGTTGTTGTCAGCAAAATAAATTTTATTAAGCAGCTGGGAATGAAGCCACTTCATGATTGATTTAATGGAATTCCTAACTTGAGTTATTAGAAATTTCACCCACACCAAAGTGCTTTTTTGAAAGGTTAAAAGAAGAATGAGTGTGAATGAGTGTGAATGTGTATTAGTATTATTTGTTTTTTTTTGTGTGAGATTCGCTTCCCATTGTCTGGTTGGTCTATTGAAATGCTGCTGTAATTGACACGGTTTCAATTGCACATGTGATGGGATGTGTGAATAGGATAATATAATAAAGTATAAACAAATTATTAGCCTGTGGAAAAATGCAGGCTAAGAGGATTTCTTATATTAAAGAAATTGAATCATTATTTGTAATTATTGATGTTTTATTAGAAATGTTGAATATACGAAATACCTTCATTACATGCTGAATCATGGATATATGTTTGAAGTTCGTGGAAAAGTGTAAATCATTGTCATATGGAAAAATGTCCCTTCCAAATATGAATATTTTTATAAAAACGATTATAAGAGTAAAACCGTGGTTAATTCCGGCCGGGTCGGGACCTTCCTGTAAGGACTTTTGTATTGTGCGCAAAAAAAATTGTTTACTTTCTGAAAAAAAATAAAACCCGAATTTATAGACAATAATTTTAGAAAAGAGCGATCTTTATAGGAAATGTTTAAAAACATATTTTCACCCTCCAAATACCTTCAAAATGCTGAAAATCAGGCGGGACCTTCGACTGGGGGGTTATACAATCACTTCAACAGAATGCAGCTAAAAACTTTAGAATACCGAAAATAGGGGCGGAGGGTTTTTACAATACTCTCTCTCTCTCTCTCTCTCTTTGTTGAAAATGTGGCCAAAATCTTCAAAATAGCGAAAATCGGACGGGATTTTTATTTTTATTCTCCCAGAATGCCAAATTACAGCCCTTTCATGATGGTAATACACCGAAACTGGATCTATTTTATTTAAAGAAGACTATGTATCTAAACATAAAACCCAATACACGTTATTCTAGTTCCAGGTTAGTACGTTGTGTACTAATTCGTCTTAATCGGACAAACGTCGGATGAAAATATATATGGAAACCTAAAACGACGAACTGACATAGGCTCCTCCATTTGCACCATTTTGCATAAAATCATTTTATCGTTGTTCCACTGTACAAGTTACCTATCTGTCGATGCTTTCTGTACCTATGTCGATCATAAGCATAAGGAATGAGTGTTTTTTTTTCTGCTTTTTTTTCTAACGAGAGTTAGAAACCAAAAGCATCAATGTTTATATAAATGTTTGTACATATGTACATGCAGGCATATTTGTGCATATATGTTGCCTCGACCTCTTCGTCTGTCTGTTTTTTTTTTTAGTTCAATAAATAATGTATTTTGAAACATTGAACCACCAACTTCTTTTATTTTTCGCTCCCTTGTTTGGTCTTCGGTTTTGCACTGCCCAAGAATGTTTATGCCGTGCGGGTTTATTGAAATAAAATAATTAGAACTCCCTGCCTCTTGATCGTATAATGGGACTAAAGTATATGTGTTAGTTATATTAAAATCTGAACCCATTTCATAAAAATTTCACGGGTGTCAAATTGTAGTAATTTCAATACGCTAATGCAAAATGCTGAATCAATCGGACAAACATTGGCAGTATGGTGCTCCATTTACATAAAATCAAACGAAACATACATAAATCTGGACCTTATTCAGTACGCTGTGCGAAATGTTGCTCAATCGAATAAATATTGGCAGTATGATGAATATAAAATCGAACAAAACTATATATGGGGGCTATATCTAAATCTGAACCTATTTCAACAAAACGAAACAAACTTCGCATACATAAATCTGGACCTAATTCAGTACGGTGTATACAATTTGTCTCAACCGTACAAACATTGGCAGTAGGGTGCTCCATTTACATAAAATCGAACGAAACTATATATGCGAGCTGTATCTAAATCTGAACTGATTTTCTCCAATTTAAATAGGGGTCGTTCTTGAGCCTAATAAGTGACCTGTGAAAATTTCATCTAAATTGGATCATAAATGCGACCGTACTTTGCTCACAAAAATACATGGACGGACAGACGGACGGGCGTGCATAAATCGACTTGAAAGTGATTTTATGCATATTCTACAAATGAACCATGTACCTATCTCGTTTCCTTTTGCCTTTTACAGACATATGCACAAAGACATAATACCCTGTAACACTGTGCGGTGAAGGGTATAAAAATTCATCAAAATAGCCATATTTATACATTGTAATTCACTCAATGGCCACTAAAGGCATAATTTTTTACAGACACACAATATAACGGCAACGTTATCTTTCTCTATTTAAAGTCATCATAATTTCTTAAGTTATTTGAACCCTAATCTCCACTAATTTTCAATTTTTCAAAAAAACTGAAAACTTTGTTGTTTCTCAAGAACTTTGCAGTTCACATGACTGCACACAATTTTATCGAAAAGTGTACAAATGAAACACCACAAAAATCAATATAACGGTATCTTTATAAAAACAGCAGCAGCTATAAAACGCATTCATCTGTGGAATTGAACACTGCGATAAAATGGTGTCTGCTGGTTGTAAAAATATCAAAATTTAAAACATACGCATGCTAAATTACGCAAAGTGGATAATTACCCGATATATGAATGATTATTAAATGATATGATATTTACGAGCTGTTAGAAAGAAACTATTTTGGAAAAAAAATATCTAATGTTTGTTATGTTTTGTGAATTTTTTATTATTTAAAAATAGTCGGTAAATAATAATAAAACAATATTTATTAATGGGTATGAAATAGTTCAACAAGCGAACAGAAGACATTTTCCACCGAGAAGAGCATCCGGGCCATGACTAAAAAACTATTCTACTGGGGAAGTAGAGGTCTTAATAGGTTATAACATTGATAAGAGATAAGTTTTTAACAGCAAAAAATGGCGGCGAAGACGTAGTTCAAGATGCATTTATAAAACTGGTAAAACACGAAAAATTAGCAAAAAAATCTTTAGGATTGGATGTAGTATCATACACTATTTCTCTTGAAAATTAATATTAAATTTTTATATCCTACACAACAATGTTGTTAGGGTATTTTAAATTTGTACAGCCCAAGAATTTGTCACGCCGCGAAATTTAAATAAATTGTACATAACGAAAAACAATGGAATTCGTCTGACATATTTACCATTAAGTATGGTTTTCCTCTTTCGAGTCGATCTTAATGCTCGAAGTTTTGCAATTAAAAGGAAAGTCAGAAGAATAACCTACGCACACACTTCTTATTCACCTCCTGTATTTCTTTTATTGCAAAATTTCGATCCTTAAGCACGACCCGATGATTTCCGAAAACTGCAACGCCCGATCACAAAAATTTCAACGCGATTTGAAAGAATACATGTCTGGCTCTCGTTAAAATTAACAAAATGGCGGACCTATGAAATTAGATTTTTGAACAATTCCCAATTTTCGACACAAACCATGTTAGAAAATAAGGAAGATCTTGACGCTGGTTGCGATTACTCTTCAAGAGGTGTCTACATATTCACTCGAAATTATAAAGGGGCATTGCTGAATTAGTTTAGGTTTATATTAAGTAAAAACCCAAAATGTGTGGGGTTCCCTTAAATCGGTTCAAATTTAAATATTGCCGACTACCACAATATTTAGTCACAATAATAATTTTACCAATTTAATAAAATTGGTTTACATTTCGAAATGACACTTAATATTTTGAGTTGGATTATAGACTTTGTACGCTTATTCAAATACTATGCCTCATTTCATGTCGCCATAGGCATACGCCCAATTTCACATTCAATTTGAAGGAATATTAATTAAAACATTCATTGACTTGGATGCTGTTGCTGTTAGGAACACACATAATGTATGGGGTCCTCGGTGAAGTTTTTGATTTCTTGCAAATAGTGGAGGCGAAAAATAAATCTTCCATATGATACATGTAGTCGCCTTCATCAACTTTTCTTGTCTTACTAGTGAAAATCACTAAATTATTTATATTTTTATATAATGACTAGCTTCGCTGCCCCTACTAAAGTTGTTAACCTAGGATAGTCAACGTAAATGCAGGCTTTTTTAAAGAAGCTACTATTTGATGGCAGTTGACCCTTCTGCCAAACTTAACTCAATATGGGATTTGATTCATGATCTATAATTCCACGGTTAACAATGGTTTGCTATTTATTGATAAGTGCGATATCGGTATTATAGTAGCCCCAAAATCTAACATTAATGTTCGACTATATATATTTCTGGTAAAAATAATATCATCTTAAACTAAAAAGACAAAATTGGCTTAAACAAATTTTGCTTATTTAAAGGCCAATACAATCCTTCATTCCCATTATCACTAAGCTATATGTTTGTCTGATCCCTTCCTCGCTCCGAATAATATCGCATAGATCCCTGCTGTATAATTCTTACAAAGTTTGAATTTTGTAAATTTGTTCCATTGCCACTTCACAATTACTTCATATTTTAACCTAACCTTAATTTAGTATTGGGCTTAACTGTACACACCTTGGTATTTTTAACAAACCAAAATCAATTCCCAATATGGAATGACAACTGAGTTAGTCGTTTACTTTATACATTCTCGAAATAATAGCTTTAGTCATATCCGGTTCAGGTCCTTCTATTGTTGATATCTCCCTTATATTGTTGTCGCATAATTTTATAAAATTTATTGCAGGGCTGTCCACACTATTACATGCAAATGTTTATTATTGTATTTGTTTC